TATACTACTAACTACTTTATTTCTAACACCAAACTTTGGTTATTTATTGTTCTTAATGATCAAATAATTATTGGCAAGACCAGAAGTCTTAATATCTCTACAGGCCTTATTCTTATTACTTATTGGCACTGCTTATATCAATTTCAATTTTCAAACCTATATCCTACTCTCCTTTCTATTGCTACATTTGTTCCAGATGTCATCTTAATTCTAATACAATTAACAACAAATGCACTATCCTTATTCTTACAAACCTGGTTACAAAACTACTCTGCTATATTAACACTAGCAAAACTCTTAATCTATATACTAACTTTCTTAATATTACATACTTTGTAACTATTTAACATCTTTTATATATTTTATCTCCTCTTTCACTAATAATCAATTCATAACAATTATCTTATATCTTTCAGTCTAACCAACTTACTGATGGCTTACAGTCTATTGTTAATTCTAATTATAACCTAATCACTATTTTATTTTATATTAATAGTTCTATTATTGAGTTTGGTACTTCTTAATGCTCTATGGATATAGGTTAGCTTCAAGTTAATAATTTTGCAACTATTTATTTATTTTAGATACAAGTTAAACTCTGGCCATGCTCTTTAAAGCTAAAATTCTTATTATTTTCTTAGCAATTATAACTGCTTCTAGAAACTGTTCTGTTATATCTTTACAGACTTACAATCTGTTATCTTTAAATATTATAATATTTGCTTATTAGTATCTAAACTCTTTTATATGTATACTTCATACTTCTCTATTTGATAAACTCTTATTAATTTCATTAACTTATATAACATTCAACTTATTTTTTATAAAGTTACTATACACCAAGATGACTTATTTAATAACCTTGCTGACAAACTTGTTCATAATCACTAAATGCTACTCTTTTTAATATTCTTAACTAATAACCCTTATAATCCTGCCTATACTTTATTTATTGATCAATTTTCTATTAAGATTTCTATTTGACATTTCATTTATACTATTTGTCAAATTCATATTATAATACTTTGAACATTCCAACATCATTTTCAATAATAATCTACTATTGCTTCTAATATCAACTGAGAAGCCACTTGGCTTTATATCAATAATAATCAAAAGGTTTCTAACTTTGCCTATAGTTTTTATTCCTCTATTTTAAAAACTTTTCATGTTAAAATTCTCTTAGATGAACTACTTGTTCCTTATACTCTTCACAAATATAATTCCTCTTACTCTCCTCTCTGTTACCAATGTAATTAAACTAGGACCTCATTATACTAGACTCTTTGTTCTTTTATCTAAACAATTTATCACTTAATTTCTAACTCTCTTAATTGTATCTTAATTGCTACTGCTTTTGATATATCCTCCAACCTTGTTTCTAATTTACATTAAGAAATCCTTACACTTAATAGTTTTAAATTATATAACTCTTCACATATGTCATCTTTTATTTTTATCCTATCTGGTTTAGTTTCTATTGACCTTATTTCTACTATTTATAATACTTTTATTTCTTACTGAACAGTTACTTTTCTTTCTATTAAATTTCTTCTTTATTTAAACTAATAAATATACAAACAAATATGGATTCCATATTGTATTTCATATTCTATACAGTCTCAAAACACACTTATTACAAATTTAACTTATAGTTTTTCTTCTAGTTTACTTTTTATCTCAGTACCACAAATTATTATCAAAATTGACCTTTGGACTATTCAATGAATTAAATATTATACCTCTCTCTCTTATATTATTACTAATATCCAAATCTAGGCAAACCTTGACCATTTTTGTAAGTTTAGGTCACAGATTATATGTTTAAGTCTTTATTCTTTATATATAATTTAAAAGCAAGCTTTTCTTTATAAAAACTTTAATTGAATTTTAATAAAATTAAAAACATGATTTTATCATTAATATTTAAAAAATAGTTCATTATACAAAAAAATTAATTGCTAAAATATTTATGAAAAAATTATATTTATTTACTAAAAAATTTATATAAAAAATATATTTGTTAATTAAAAGATATAATAATAAAATATTAAAATTTTAAATAATTACATTTTAATATGATTAATAAATTCTATTTATTAATCTTTGTTAAAATTCTCCAACTATATAATTATAATATCATTTATCAATCACATGTTATCTAATTATTGTTAAGTGCTTCTATTAATTTAGTTAGATAGAACTTAGATGTTGTAAATGTTTTAAGCTTTCTAGTTAATATATTACTAAAAAGTCTAGAAATGTGAATTAATACTTTATCAAATTCTATTTTTTATTTTTTTTATTTGCTAGTTTAATTTGTAAAGAATTAGATTTTTTTAATCAATATTTAATAATTGATAAATTGTAATCTTTTCTAAAAGAAGAATATTAACTTGAGATATTGCTTTTATTTCTTTTTGTTTAGATGCTAACTTTTTTATACATAATTTTAAGTAGATATAAGCCTGCTCAAATTGATATAATTTTTATAAAAAAATTTTTTTAGAAATATCAGATAAATCAGAAATAATATTTACATTGCTGATAGATTTATAACATGTAGTTATAAGTGTATTAAAAATGTTTATTTGTTATTTAATTATTTGTAAAAATGGTTCTTTATTTTTAGAAAAAAGAATAGTAAAAGTTAAGTAAAATGCTTTTTGCAAAAACATAATTTGTTCTTAAATGTTATTACTTTCTATTTCTAATAAAGATTTTTAAGAATTATTATATTTTTCTAAATATAAATCTAAATCAAGAGCACCTTTAATTAATAAATAGCAAAATTGTAGTTTAATTGAAGTTGTATTACATAATTACAATTTTTACATTACATGTGATTTTACGTAAGTTTCAAGAAAACGAAATTTCATGTAATCTTCATCACGTTATACATAAAGTACCAGACTTACAAAAGCTCTGTCAGCATTTTTGCTGAAAATTTGATCTCAAAAACTAATATTAAGTGCTCAAAATTACATGAAATTTCAATTTACCTAATTTGTGATTTTATTAGTAACATTTTGAGTAATGCCGCCAAATTTTTTGATCGTCACTCTTAGCGAATCAAAATTGAGAATCAGCCGGGACAATTTTGTCACGGCAACTAGGTTAATGACTCAATGGTAGAGCCATTGACCAAATTTTGTATTGCATTCCAATGACATACCAAATTTCTACTTCCACTAAACCATACACATCGTGATTTCATTACTCTGTTCTTGGTATGCCCCAAATATTGATGTTATTGTTTATATTATATGGGTGTCGCCAAAAGAAAACAAGCACATCTAAAAATAGAATTATTATATAAAATATAATAATTCTATTTTTAGGTGTGCTGATTTTCTTTTAGCGACGCTTGTATTAAGATGTAAAATTTTTGTCGTGACATTTGCGTAAATGATGTGAAATAATTAACTTTTATAACGATAAGTATAAAATATATTAATTAAGTTGTCTTGATCAGTTTTTTGATTTGCCGTCTTGGTGAGGATTAGAAACAAGCAAGTTATATGAGTTAGAGGGGAGTAGTTTGTATAGTTTCTAATGATTATTTTTGAGTCATGAACGATTTTTTGGTGGAACAAAACCAGATTCGTAGTTCAGGAGATCTGCTCCGAATGTGACAAAAATAAATCAATGACCAATAATATTTTAATTTCATGACATCATCATTATATGAGTGCGGCCAAGGGAAAACCTGTCATCTGACATTCAATTATGATGTTAGATTTTTTACAGACAGACAGGCAGCTATTGTAAATGAAATATAATTGAATGTCCGATGACAAGCCTCCCTTGGCCGCACTCGTATGAAGGTGTATGTTTTTTTTCGAAAATAGACTTAATTATGAAATATTTCAATCCTATTTTTAGAAGTTTAAAATGATAGGAGAATTTGTTAGTGAGAATATTTTCCGTAAAATAGCTTTTGGAAAATTATACGTACAAAAACGTTTACGTTTAATTATTGTTTGTATAGCAATAGAGGAGGCTTCAGCCTTGCACGTCTTAAATTGAACTTCTAAATAAATTCAGTAGAACCACTTCTAAATAAAGGCAGTAGAACCACTTCTAAATAAATGCAGTAGAACCACTTCTAAATAAAGGCAGTAGAACTACTTCTAAATAAAGGAATATTTTGAACAGATTACACAAGAAACAATGGTCCTTGTAATATAATTTGAATGAATATACTAATTTGGATAAATCTATGTCACATGCCGTAATTAAATTTTGAGCTTGCAATAATACGTATCCTTCATCACAGTCGGTCTTAGAAGTGAAATATCAGTAATAGTAGATGATGATTGAGATCCACTACATTTGGTTTTGAAATGTACAGTATTTACTAATCAAACTACAGTCAACACTGCCTAATTGCATGCCACCCATCAGAGACTTTTTTATGCATATAGACAGTATTGTATATGCATTTAAATTATAAGAACCATTTTTGTGTTAATGTAATCGCAGTAAAAATTGTGTTTTTTGATTATTAACACAAAATAGTGAATGCATATACTGTCTATATGTATAAAGTTTTTAACAAATGGCATGCAGGTAGACAGTATCAATTGTATTAAAACCAATTTGTCTATACATTTGAAGAGTATATGCAATTAAACAGTATTGACTGCACTACTTTTTTAAAAAAAAAATATACAGGTGCTAATACTCTACATTTTTATTGCCTAACATATATTTGTCCCAATGAAAGAACATCTGGTAGGAACTTTTAGTTATTTTTAGACATGTGATACAGTCAAGACAGTATCGGCTGTGCAGCTTTTATTTGTGTTATTATACGAGAACTACAGAAAAAAATCAGAAATATTTCGTATAAAATGAGAGTAATGAAGAACTGACCCACTCATCACTTCATACAAACAAGTAAAAGGAAAAATAATCCAAAAAAAAATCAAACAAAAGAACAAAAAATCAAAGAAAAAAAGAACAAAAAATCAAAGAAAAAAAGAACAAAAAAAATCATGAATAATTTGAGCGCTAATTTTCGATATATTGATGATAGAAGATTTCATAACGTTGAAGACTCAAAATACCTTTTACCAAATGACAAACAGGAGTGTGATAGGTTACTTTTACAACATTTGATGTGGAAAAATTGTTGGAATGGTAACTTTTCCGCTCCTATTGAAAAGATTCTAACACAAAAGGGATCTAAAGTTCTCGATGTAGGGTAAATAGTAATCATAAAATTAAAAAAACAATTCTATAATAGTTTGTATTTAATGAATATTTATTTTTATTTTAAATAGTTGCGGACCTGGAATTTGGACACTTGATATGGCAACTAGTTTTCCGAAAGCTCATTTCACTGGTGTGGATTTTGTTCCAATTCAACCAAATGAAAATAAACTGGAAAACGTTACCTTTGTTCACATAAATGCATTAGAAGGACTACCATTTAAGGACAATACTTTTGATTACATATTTCAACGGTTTTTAGTTGTCTCATATCCTAGGGATAAGTGGGATTTTATTATAAGTGAATTGGTTAGAGTGTTGAAACCTGGTGGTTATTTAGAGGTATTGTGGATACATATAGTACAATTAATGTTCTGCAGATGTCATATATAATAATGTTAAAACATAGATAGTACTGAGTATGGAAATAAGCTCTATGTTTTAAAAATATTGTCGTGTTTGATACTTGCAAACTCTAATTACAACCATTAGAAAATTTAATAAGATTGATAAATTTCTAATATATTCTATGTTTTTGTTTTATAGTTAATGGAAGACGATCTGGAACCTGGAAATATGGGTCCTGTGACAAATAAATTAGCAACAAGCAGTAAGAAAATTCTAAATGTCGATTAACAATATATATGTCTATATATATTTTAATACTTTTTCTATATTAATAATTTTAGTACTTAATGAATGGGAAAGTATTGGATTAGATACAAAAATTTGTTACAAGTTACCAAAGCATTTAGAACAAAATAAAATGCTCAAGAATATTTGGAGTGAACAAAGAACAATTGACTCAAAAACTACTAATATTGGGGATATGGTTTGTATAAATTTGTTTTTACCTATAGTTATCAATTTAATAATAATATTAACTAGAGTTTTCTTTTATATAATAGCAAACTAAAAATTGGATTGAAACAGCTCTGGGATTAAGATTAACATTGTCAAATATTCTAAATATTACTCATAAAGAGTTCGATAAATCTCTTGATATAGTCTATAAAGAATTTATAGAATTTAATTCTTTCACTCTGGTTAAACGTGCTTATGCTCAGAAAATCGAAGCCAAAACACGTCAAAGTTTCATAAATTTTTCAGCCATTAAAAAATTTTTTAATTATACAGAAATCTGACATTTTACAATAGATTTTACATTAAATTTACAATAGGTCTTATAATAGGTTTGTGAGTTAATTAGAATTAGAAATCTAGGGGGTTTTGTATAATACAAAATATTATATGAAAATTATATTATTGAAGTTATATAAAATTTATTATTTATTATTATGTTTTATTTTACTTATAAAAATAGTATTTACTCAAATAAATTAATTCATTCAACAACTTATAAAGTAAATGAAAATTCTCTTAATTGTTTAATACGTAAAAAGTCAAATTTTCTCCGGAAAAGGTTTATTAGAGCAGGCGTATAGATGTTCATTTTCAAGTAATACAAATAATTGTACCAGGAGCAGAGTTTGTACAACGTACAACGTACAACGTAGAGTATGGTTTATAGGCATCTAAAATGGTGTGTCTCTTTTTTATCCGATTGGTTGTTCTAATCTTGTGACTTCGTCTTGTGATTTCTAGATTTATACATATAGGCTAACTTTCTCGTGATTAGTCAATTTTATTCAATTGAATTTATACACTTTAGAGTACTTTTACCCCCTAACATAGTAAATTTTTTTTTTAAATGTAATTCCTGTTTATAATATTACAAAAGACTCTTTACAAACGAAGCTTTAAGAATCTTATGTATCTTTGGAATTTACCTTGCCTAGGTATACTTCACTTAGAGACAGTTTTTCAACTTAGAAAAATAGTAATGAGGTAATAAACACATTATTTATTGTGAAATCGCGTG